ATATTAAGTTTATTATATATATTATAAGTGTATTATTATATATTATATATATTATTATATATATATATAAAGTGTCATTTTTATATTGCCTTTTTATAACTTTTGCATAATGTTTGTTTAATCAAACATTTAAACTCTCTGTGAGTTTTATTTGGTGCTTTCTACAATCCCCGAAAAAATTAACAAATAAAAATACTTAGTATTCCGAATGAGTTTACATGCTCGATCTATGATGCTTAAAATTCATGCGCATGATAATTATCACGCTGTGAAATTTGAAAGCAATTGTTTCACTTCTACTGCCAAATTGTTAACATACTAGTTTCAGAAAGAATGATTTCAGTGACTAAGAACTTCAAGATAATCAATAAATTACGATGGATTTTTACAATTTATTAGATTTTTGATCCAATAGCCATTTTACAGTCACTTGTTTTTTTCTACCATTTACCTTATTAAAATAATGCAAAACCTAATTTTCGTTTGCTGCTCAGAAGTAGAGCATGCTGGGCAAAGCTAATTATAGGTAATAAAAGTGCTGCTCAAATTGTATACTTAATTAAAGTAATACACCTTACTACAATTATAAGAATGTACTAAGGTAAATGACCTAATTTTGTTGAAGCAGAACTGACGACAACTTTTGAATAAGGTTCTACCAACTATTTTCGATTAAACAGAAAAATATGCAGTTTAATATTAAATAAAAATAAACTTCTTATAAGTTAAAATTAAATTTTAAAATTTGCGTATGATTATTTCCTGGTTGTCTGGCAAATCTAATTAACAAAACATCACTTTTGAACAGAAATGAGATTCAAGATTTAATTTCAGATTGCTAATATAACGAAAACTGAATTCCTAAAATTACGATATTCTAAAATTATCTCAGATTTATTATCCTAGAAGATGTTTAAATATTTATATACTTGCCTTTCGTTAGGCTAATAAAATTTTATACCTTTTCTGATTTTATGCATCCGATTTAATTCGTAGTTACACTAGATCTGAGTACACGTTTTATATTTTGCTGCGCAATGAAAGCATAAAACCGATGAATTAGCTCCAATGAATGCACAAAAACAATACACTGCCCTCCAAAAGTTAAGCAATAGCATTTCATTTCAAAGCTCACCATTACAAAAATGTCAGTAACGTTTAAATTGACAATTCATATGCATGATAGTAAAGAAATTTAAGAATACTTATATAGGAATTGGAGAAAAATATAAAAATTGTAATTTTTGTTCACGAGTATCGATCTTTAGTTGTTATTACAGTTTCGTGGGCAATATCTAGTAGAGTCTATTAATGTCCAGGAGCAGTCGTTTGCAAGATACGTTGAGGTGGCGGACGATGGGATGGATGGAAATGGGGATGTCACAAGCTTATGCTGCTAGACATTTCAGTGTCTCTCGTAGTGGGGTCCACCGACTATATAGTCAGCTTGAATCCGAGGATTCCGTGTCTGGAAGACATGGTCTAGGCAGACCTAGAGTTGCAAAACTTGCAGGAGATCGTTATTTAGCTCTTTCGGAACGAAGGAGGAGTAACATTACTGTGTCTCAGCTCACGGCAGATCATTTAGTGGCAACATGAACAAGAACCTCAACTACTACAGTGTCCAGACTCCTGCACAATACAGGTCTTTATACAAGACGCCCGTTGTTTGTATTCCCTTGACTCGAGGACACAAAGGTGTCCGTTTATGTTGGCCAAGAGAACACGTCTTCTGGACCAGTCAACAATGGGAGTTTGTTCTCTTCACAGAAGAGTCCAGGTTCATACTGAATAGTGTTTCAGGTCGTCAGCTAATCTGGAGGAAACAACGCACCAGATACAATCAATCCCACATTGTGTAAAGACACAGTTACAGAGATGATTGAATAATGGTTTGGGCTGGAATCTCTCTGGGCGGTCACACAAACCGGCATGTGTTCCATGGAGGAACTTTGACTTGTGTGAGATATCGAGACGAGATCCTTGATCAATATGTCCGCCCATATGCCGCTGCTACTGGTCCTGTATTTCTTCTGATGAACAACAGTGCACGACCGCTCGGGTTGCTGAAGAATATCTTGAAGGTCACGTTATGAAGCGGATGGAATGGCCAGCTAAGTCCCCAGCCCTGAATCCGATAGAGCATTTTTGGGACTACCTTGGGAGACAGGTTGCTGCTTTAAGTTCGCTTCTAAGGTCGTTAGATGAGCTTGAACAAGGATTACTCCGCGTCTGGTAGTTGCTTCCCATTTCACTGACCGACAACTTCATTGACAGCATGGAGTCGTCGCTGCCGCCAATGTATTGCAGCTAGGACTAGACACTTTCCTCGTTAGAACCCATTTTTGTAGTGTTACCACCCCATTTTTCCTGAAAAACTGTGATATTCTGTTTCTCCAAGACTGCATTTATCTGCCAAGAGTGTATTTTTTTGTTGTAATTCATGTTTATGTTGAACTTTAGAAACATTCTTTGTCACATTCATTAAAGAACTGTTTAGTAAACATATCCTATTTAGAACTGTTTAGTGAACATATCCTATTTAGAACTGTTTAGTGAACATATCCTATTTAGAACTGTTTAGTGAACATATTCTATTTATAACTGTTTAGTGAACATATCCTATATATTCTTGTTTCTGTGTTGCTTCATTCTCGTATTAGGCGCAAGAAACTTGCTGTTCCTTAACTTTTGGAGGGCAGCGTATAACGTTTATTCAGCAGCAGCTTTGAACTAACGTTTTACATTTCTGTCACATTAAACATTGTGTTCAAGCTACAGTAAAATAAAAAGCACATATTAAATTATCTCAAATACTTTTTAAATAAAAGCTATGCTTATATAGTAGTTATATTAAAAGGAAAAATACATGTATGTACATCATTCATAGAAATTATTGCCAATGCGTATTAAACATAATGTTTCAAAAATGTCAGAATTAGTCCAGGTATTATGTTCTTCGTAAGGAGAATTACGCTTTTAATTTGCATAACGATCATTCTCGATTAACCAGTTGTACAACCTCTACTCTAAAATTAATTCAGTCTCAAAGTACAGGTCGACCTATCTGAAACCTTCATTCTACATATCCCACTACCACAGTTTAATTAATACGTCCTGATCTCCAATTGCACACTGCTCAATTATGGTCTCATGATCAATTATTGCGCACTGCACCATAACTCCTAGTATGAAACTATCTCTAAGCTATTGTATTCCAATCTGTTTTCAGATTTAAACTTAAGCATGGAATGAGCAATGTTTTCTGAAAATGGTAAAAGCGTAAAAGTATGCTTCTGAATATGATGAACATTCATTCTAATATAAATCTGAACGCAATTTTTTCATGAACGAAAGATTAAGAAATTTTACAGTAATTTTATAAAAGTGTTTATTTTCCAGCCTTTATACATATTATTTGAGTTGCAATTATATCATTGGTTAAATTAAGTTCTCCAAAATTGCAAGAAAGATAAGTCTTAATATTAAGTAATCTCCTAATTATAAGCACAAAAGAAGAGTTAAGAATAAACATTTGATTCGATGCCTTGTTTGATTATGAGTGAGTCAAAATATTGCAACTTCATATGTGCCCCTTGTTAAAAGGCTTCTTCAAATACGTTCCCTGTCAAAAGGCTTTCTCACATCACTCCCTTGTCAAAAGTCAGCATTCGAAACAAAGAAATGAGTGTGACATAAATTGTCTAGCAATTTTCCAGTATTAATTTCTGTAACATGCTGAGTTAGGTAAGAAAATCTTGCAAACATCTTAATAAATTATTCCGGGAATTTCATTCCGCCCTCTGCATAAGGACTAAAAACACAACTACGAATAATTGAATTAAATGTACTAACGGAAAAACAGCGCAAAGAATTGCTAAATAATGATCGAAGAAAACCATTTTCTGTTCCAACATGTAACTTTATATTTTAGTTTCCTATCATGTGTCTACCATTTTATGAGTTCGCTTCATCTTCTATCACTTCGTCTGATTCGTTGGTTATCGCTTTAATTTAACCCAGAATTTATCGTCTAAGTGTCTGTAAGACAAAGAACTGGTGGGGACAAGAGATAAGTGATGCGCAGATTAATTTTCACGAAAATCATTCGGAAAAGGAGAGGAAAGTGCTCACGAGAGAGTTGTAAAAGGAGGCGAAAAAATGAAAAATCAAACTAAGACTTAAGGTAAATGTAATTTATGAGGGTAATTTAAGAACATCTCTAATATTGCGACGAAAACGAATTCGATGAAGATGTAATGGCGCTGCTTCTCCCACACACTTTCTAAGGGAAGGGAGTTGTTTTTCTTACAGCGTTTATTTTTTTTTCCTATTTTATAAAATTAAAACTGTGGTTCCTAAGCATATTTCGTTTTGAAAAACAGTCACTGAAATTGTGAAGTGGATCTTATATAAATTGAAACGTAAGAATTAAAGACGTTTACTTTTTATTTGAAGTTACATATTATTTTAAACTGCTTTACTTTTATTTATTTACATCAAGTTTTGTACGCATAAGTGGACAAATATAGTTCAAATATTTAGCGTAAAATTCGATCATTTTCAGAACACTGTTATTTATAGATTGCAGTTCCTACAAATTAATCACTCTTTTAGAAACAACTGTGAAAGAAAATATATAGACACTAATATAATTCTGAGTTTTATAAATCAAGGCAAAATTTTGCTTTTATCTTTAAACACAGCAAACATAACAAGCTTAGAAAATTCCTATTCCGTACACAACACATGAGCGCTTTATAACGAACTTAAGCGTGTGCGTAATATACTATTCTGAAGAAATTATTATCTAATTTTATTAATTCTCCATTGAAAATACATAAATACTAAATAAATATCATTTAATTAAAGAGCTATAAGTTATCTCACAGCTATCATTTGAAATTTTAATACATAATGTATTGTATATATGTTTCACTTTTGTGATAAAATTCACATAAGGCTTGAATAAGCAACAATAATGTGACTTTTATTTCCAGAGCCAATATGCTATTTTCCGAGTGAATTAACCGGACTCTGGTTCCAGAAAGGATGGCAGTCCGTCATTCGAATAGAAGGCAGTGTTTTCTCTATCAAAGGAACCTGTGTAGATGCAAACCACAACATATTTCTTATCGAAGACAGGTAAGCTATTTATAATTTATTAAGTATGAGTGTGTGATTTTACAGATGGAAATTAACTGCATTTCTAAGAAAATCGGATTCCTTTTTAGAAAATCTGAAAATTCCATGCAGACATTTTTCTATTAATAATCGAGCTCGGAAAAAATATCTGGCATTAACAAATGTTCTATCTTATCCGTCATATTTAGGTTGCTATTAGACTTGTTTTAATTATTGATGTAATGCTAATTTTAACTAAAACCATATAGAAAATTCATGATTGTTATACTTCTGTGTAAAGACATAAATAAAATTTATCTGGTGTTAAATTACTTTTATCAATGACAAATGCAAACAAATACTGTCTGCAAGGCAGCGATAAATGTAAATTTTAATATTTATTTTGCATGTTGCAAAACATCTAGAGCAATTTATATGCATCTTTAGTGTGATCTAAATTATTCTTCTATATTTTCTGAATTTCAAGACTTAACGAAGATGCGAACATTGGTAAACGGAAGTCATCATTAAGATAATGGTAATTTTATGATTTGAGCTTAATTTTTTTTTAAATTGTAAATCTCTTGAACAGTGTAGTTCTAGGACATTAACCATCTCTAAACTAAAGATTTTTTTTCAGAGGGGGGGGGTCCTAAAAATCGTATATATAAAAAAGTTATTAATTATCGTATATTAAGTACATATCATAAAAATTATTTTTATTTATAGAATAAGTTAAATTGTTGTAATTTGGCACACTATTTAAAAATCCATTATTTGTCTTTTCTTTAATAATGCATACATCTAATTCTTAATAGAAACTACAGTGTAGCAAACTTTTCGAAAGATTTGTAAAAGTTAAATTGTTATGATTTGGCACAATATTTAAAAAAACCATTATTTATCTTTCCATTAATAATGCATAGATTTAATTCTTAATATAAACTAAGGTGTAGCAAACTTTTCGAAAGACGTGCAGTAAAAGATATCTTAGAATTATACCATGTGAAGCTACGGACATCAATTAATAAATGCTGTTACTCTACTTATATTTACTAACGTAATTTTGGGGAATTTTATAGGTCATTTTCGCCTGATATTATGCTTTGAATCAAAGATAATATTTAAGTGCTCATAAACAGGAAAAGAATAGACGCAATAAAACAAAAATCTATGCATTTGTTTCGTTTTTAAAATTCTTATCTTATAAATACTATATTTGAAATGAAAACTCATATTTGAACTCTAATCCTACATTGAAGTAAATTCATGTTTAATACAGCTTATATTCGAAAACTTTAAAAAATAAAATTTCTAATTCTGCTCCTCTGTAATCTTGGAAAAGTTATTTTTTCAGGTAAAAATGTGGAACACTGGTGTAGAATTGGAACTCAGTTTGTTTTGGGAAAGCTAATTACAAATTTCTAAACATCTATTTATTGCATTAAAAGATTCTAAGATAGCTAGAAATAAATAGTTAGTTTTCTGCTTTAATTTGAGACGTTTGGTACAGTCTCCTTTGTTCATTAATTTCTACCACATTCATTTTTATGCCTTAAGATTACATTTACTACTATTTAAACTATTTAAATAAGTGTAGCACAGTTTTATTAATTTAATCAATCATTTTAAAATAACTGAAAACGCTTCCTCAATTTTTTACTTCAAAATTTACATCCACTTTACAATAAAATCACTACTCAATTGCTTCCTATTAGTAGAAGTTAAACTGTAAAAAATAATCATTCTCTAGTACTCAGATTGGAAGATTTATTTCTCATTGAAGCTGCAGCATTTTCAATCTTTATTAAGACTATCCAAACCTTTTAGCTGTATAACAATTATATACAAGTCATATGAAATCAATATCTTCATATTCTGACTACAAATGTCTCCTTAAAGGAAATTATTATTGCTTTTCATATTTGAAATATGGGAATTTGGCAGAAGACATTAACCATATCTTCGGCCCTTGACTGTGAAAAGCGCTATTATTCTCTAAACACAAAGGCTGGATGTCATTAACCACAGCCCTAATACGTTTCCGGAAAGAGATATTATAGTATCTGTCATCATAGCAGAAATTTCGTCTCAAGCGTTACCCATTTAGCCAAAAATTAGTATCAGTTTTGGCTATGCAGTGAATTTCATACGAAAATACCATTAGAAGAATTTCTGATTGGGAAACGAGTGTATAGATGGATATATAGTTTTGCTATCTGCTTTCTACTACTCATCGATAAAACTAAAATTCTATTTTATGACGTCAGAGAAATATCTGTTCATTCATTTCCCTTTGTTTTAAAGCTTACTGTTTCGATACTATTCAGAGTTTTGTTTGATGTGTATAAAATACTAATAACATTGACACATCATTGATTTTCCTCTTCTACAAATTTAAAGCGAGCGAATTAATGAGCTCTAGTAGGTAATTTAATATATTGTTCACATTAATACCAGGGTTTTGTCTGATTTAATGATAAGAAGGCGGGCAAAATATCTTATATCATATTTAATTCGAAATTAACATCTATCGATCGCAATGCTGCCTGTCAAATGCGATAACCTACAAACCGTTTCTAGTGAACCTTGCGTAATGACAGTCGAACTATAGGTCAGTGGTTAGGTTAGGTTATCTGAATATGACAAATTACACTATCTGCCTACATATGTCAGTGATGTGACAGTGTAGTAAATTATTAGTTATATTGCTAAAATCAAGTCAAAATTAAAAACACCGGTAAACTTCAATAACTTTCATCACCAGTTGCCTCTGATGGTCATTCACCAATGTGGGCCAATGGCCTGTTTGTTGCAGTCAGTTATCAGTGGCAACATTTGTCAAATAAAGAGTATTTTAAGCACACATGTAGCGTAAAGAAGCGTAACATAACATTTCAAATTCCTTCGGGATGGTTAAATTTTAATAAAATTTGGTATGGACAAGGATTGATATGATACAAAAATAAACCATAAAACAGTCATGATACGCATTCATGATTTTCGTGCGCGTGGAAAGGCAAGGCTCATTAACGTAGGGGAGTCTAAAATAAAAAATTCGAGATCGAACAAAAGAGAAGGCTAATCGGGGATATATTTCAGTCGTACGGCGTGCAGTCATTGCAGCTCTTGCACTTCGTACTAGAAGCGAAGCATTTTGTGAATCCCTGTAGCAGTCTGTCCTATTTCTACAGCAATGGAAAAATAGATACGTTTTGTAAGAAAACATGCAAGTAAAATTTTAAAATTTATGAAATTTATGAATAGAATTGTTTTTTCGTGCATATTTGCATGCCAATTTTCATGCATTATTGGCCGATTATATTTGAAGTGAGTTTTGCAATCGTTTAGGCTACGAAATGCAAGGCCATCGGTATTTTTAAGCTGGCCAGATGCTATCGAGGTTTCCGAGTTACGTATAAATTAACAGTTTTTCCAGTGGTGGTATTGGTATTCAGGTTATGGCATCAATTCCAAACTACAGGTACCATCGCCAAGACAGCCTTTAAGTGCTGCAATACCTACAGAGGATCGGTGAGTTATATTAAATGCACAGCTCCGTAGAAAGATGACGATTATACAGCTCTATCAGATTTCGCTGATTTCGATTGCCAATTTCCATACTAAGTATATCGGCGTCCAACACTATGTTTCTTTCTCAAGAAATCGCAGAAGAATGTTTGTCTCTCTTGGAAGCAAGTATACTGTTCTTAGGCACAGAATGATTTTGGCCATGACCTCTTTGCTGTTGGACTGAGATTTAGTACATATAGTGATTCTCGACGAGTCTTCATTTAAAGAAACCCGGAAAACGCATCTATTATTTTCTGGAGGAAGAGGAAGTTTGTGTGGCCAGCGAAGTCGCCGGTCCTAGGTTTTATACAGCATATTCAAAATGCTCTAAACAGCCATTGAACGACATCCGTACACACCCAGAGTTTTTATACGCCTTACACATTTAGAAAAATGGGATTTGTTACCACGAGCTATGCTCAATAATCTCGTTTGCAGTGTAAAGGCCATGTGTGAAGTATGCAAAGCTGTGTGAAGTGGCAACACTTCTTAGTGTCAGGACCATTTTGGAAATAGGAGTTGCGGTTTCTTGAATATAGCAAAATATTTATCCTCTATTTATTTCACTAAGTTACTAATGACTCTCTGATAGTATTGGGCATCTGAGCACAAGATTCATTACAATGAACAATTGTATTTCGAGATACCATATGTTTTACCTTGATTTTGCGCAAGACGAATAGAGCCTGGAGTTTAAACCTTTTTATTCCAATAAATTTCTTTACACATTTGCGAAAAAAATTACAATACCATTTGCGCCTTCGTTACAAAAGTGTGTTATAAAAATATGTATAAATATTTTTGACCATCTATTAGTAGCACGCGAATTAAATTAATCCCAAATATAAACTACAAATTCACTTGCAGAACATACACTAATACCAATTATATAATTTATATGGGCTGAAACTAAATATTTCATTATTATGTGTTTCTGAGAGTACTTAACCTATTTCTAGAGGATTACTTTGAAAATAACCCATCGAATAAATTAAAAAAAAACAAAAAAAAAACTCAAACTATTGTATTCTATATTAAGGTTCGTAAATGTCCTTAGGCCAGAGGTGACGTATTTAATTACTTTATTTTATAGCAAGTTTGTGGAAACGATTTTGTCGTTGAAATTGGTGTTCCTGATAAATAGCGTGACACAGCAGGAAATCTTATAAAATATTCTCCTTAAATTAAATATCCCCACCAGTGGCCGAGCTGTGAAATCGCTAAATACTAACAGTTCTGACCTGGGTTCGTTTCCATGTGAACGGGCTAGTTGCATGGAAGAAATAAAAATATATGATTTATTAGAGTTCTTTGATTCTAGCTTAACATCTTTAATGGTGCCATAAACTAGCATTTCTACGATATTAAACGTACGAGTCGCATCGCAATTCATCAAAAATCCAAGTCGAATGTTCTTACAAATAAATATATGTATTACTTGATGAAGA